AAGACATAATGCTTAATATCTCAAAAACTATAACAGCACAAACGCTCATTTTAACTGCACAAACCTGCACAAACGAAGCACTAACCAATCCGCTTACTAGTTTTTATTTTTTGCGTGGGTGGGGTGTCAGCTTCACACAGCTCTCACAGGTACCTACCTGACCCCAAAACTAACCTAAACTCAATTCACACCTTGGTCCTAAATCTAACCCCCAACACACCAATGGCATTTAAACCAAATGAGGCCCTGACTTTTGTCCCCAAATGCACCAGTTGTCCCCAAATGTAGGATTTTTGTCTTAAAATTGCCCCCAAATGTCACAAAAACCGAACCCCGCACCCCACACACACAAATACAAAATAAAACTAGAAGATAAAAATGCAAAACAGACAAAAATGTAAACAATGGGAAAAATGTTTAAAGTGATGTCAAAAGATTCTTTCTTCCATCTCAGTAGTTCTTCAATGATGCTTTAAAAGTCGTCCCGGCAAATGTTGAAAAAACTGAGATCTACTTTTGTTATCTTAGCTCAAATGCACAGACACACACACACACACACACACACACACACACACACACACACACACACACACACACACACACACTACAAAAATAAAAAAAAATTGTCAACCAGTGCTGCATTAAATTTGGACCAAGCCAACCCTGAATACTTTTAACTCAGCAGGTAGAGATAATCTGCTGTAAGAAAAAAACAATTACTCTAAAATGGCAAAGTTTAAAGAATAACATGACTCATCTCCTACTCAACAACTGGGTCAAACTTTTTGACTCAATACCGTATGTAGTCAAATCAAGCCAACAGTTTCAACTCCAAGTTATCAAACTAACTCAACAGGTTTTAAACAGACTCAGTTGCCCAACTTGTTTTTTATTCACTTGGTGTTACATTTGTCTTTTGTTTTCTGTTTTTCATTTATGAAAAAAGTTTAATGTAAAAGATGGGATTTATTATTATTATTATTATTATTATTATTATTATTATTATTATTATTATTATTATTATTATTATTATTATTTGGCCTGATTCAAACTGTGTATCAGCGAACTCCAATCTGACAGGATTGGTGGAGGAACGGACCCAGGGCGCAGGCATAGTTCGAAAGTGCAAAAAAGGTTTAAGATAACAAAAAGAGGGTTGAATGCAGCAAAAACTTACAGGTTCACGGAGAGATCACACAGGCAGGGGCTCAAGGCACAGAACAGAAGACACAATGAACCGACAAAGAGACTGAGACAGGACAGGCCTTAAATACACTGAAAACTAATGAATGAACAGAAAACACCTGGGGAGATACACAAGGGTGATTGTCAGGGTAATGCGGGGCAGCTGAGCTGAGACACACAGAGGAACATAGAAACACTAGGAAAACCAAGGTAAAAAATGACAAACCATGACAGTACCTGCCCCTTAACAATCGTCTCCCGACGATCAACAAGGATAGGCACGGGACAAGGGGAGATGAGACAAAACAGACTCAAAGAGAAAACACGAAAGTCCAGGGGAATGGCCAGAAAAACTATCCCACATAGGGCAAGAGTCCAGAGGGACGACCAGGAAAACCTCCCCAACAAGGCAGGAGGTCAGGGAAGTGGCCAGGAAACCACCCATGGCGACACCTCACAGGAGCAGACGCAGAGCCACAGGAGGAGACGTGAGCAGACACGGAGTCGAGGGAGGAGGCGGGAGCAGACATGGAGTCGAGGGAGGAGGCGGGAGCAGACATGGAGTCGAGGGAGGAGGCGGGAGCAGACATGGAGTCGAGGGAGGAGGCGGGAGCAGACGTGGAGTCAAGGGAGGAGGCGGGAGCAGACGTGGAGCCGAGGGAGTAAGAGGGAGGCGATGAGGAGCCGTCAGAGGTTGATGGAGCTGGAGCCTTGGTGATGGCAAACACATGCGACAGAGGGGATGAAGAGGCAACGGCAGCCGACCCAGGCAATGGCAGCCGACCCAGGCAACGGCAGCTGACCCAGGCGATGGCAGCCGACCCAGGCGACATGGAGGCGACAGCAGCCGACCCAGGCGAAGAGGAGGCGATGGGCAACGACTCAGGCGATGAGGAGGTGGCGGGCGGCGTGGAGGCAACGTCAGCCGACCCAGATGTCATAGAGGCGCCGGCAGCCAACTCAGGACACAATCTTTAGATCTTGGTAGAAAAAAAATGCAAGAATGACCTATTCGTTAAAATGTGTATTTTTACACATTATAAATATTTTTTTCAAGATAACAGTTTTTGTATTTTGATCAAAAAGTTCAATTCTGTCACTGACCAAACATGTCTAAAAATGTTGGGCTACAAACAAATAACTTTGTAACTGTACACAACATATTTCAAAGACCAAAATTTATTTTTACAAGAGTAAAGTTTGTTTCAAATTATTCACATGTAAATTGTTTCTTATAAACATATATTTGAAACAAAGTTTTATCATTAGTTCAGTGAAAACTAAAAACTTGGTGTTATACACAGAAATAGTTTTTAGCTTCATATTCACATCCAGGAGCGAGATTATGCATTTACGTTGTGCAAGCAGATTTATATGGTGATTTGGCAATTGGCCATGATCACCTCTTTAACTTACACAAAAAAGATGTGGAAACCTTTAACTGCAGAGATGGTGAACATTTACTTCTTATCATAAAACAAATCAAAATTTCCCATCTAAACATCTCTCTGAACAACCTCATTTTGAAGAAATAAAGTTGTGTTCTGACTGGATAAATAAGGACGAGCAGAGCAGCAACCAAAGTGGACGGTTACCACTTTAAAACTAATTCAGTGTCATAGCAGTTCACAAAAAACACTGTTCTATGTTCATCAGTTTCATATGACATGGTCCAAGAAGAGAACAGATAAAGCAGGCACATTTAAAAGAAATTCTGAGAATAAATCCAATATTTTTGGTGGCAAAACCTCAAAATAAACTTAAAATAACATCTTGGAGCAATCTTAAGTGTCTTTGCTTAATCTATCATTATATTTCAGCAATTGGTTGTGGCTCATAAAATCAATTTAAAAAACAAAACAAAAAGCTTTTATTTATTACTCATTGAAAGAATTTATAACTTTTGTTGTTAAACTGTTGTTTGCTTGTGAAAGTTTTTAGATGTAAGTTAGCTTTATGTTGTCTTCTTTTTCAGGTTCCTTTTCCAGTGCTCAGTTTCTGGCACGGTTTAATATGAGAGGGGTCACAGGGCAGGTCCAGTTTAATACCACCTCCATGACAGCTGTTGTAAACGTTACTGGGGTTGGATCCTGTGCAGCAGTCAACTTTTCCCTCACTTCTTTCCCTGTTATGTATGGCCACTTTGCTGAGCCATGCTCTGAACAGAACATCGGCTCCAGCATCTTCGCCTTCACAGCTGATCCTACGTCACCAACTAGTGTCAACGTATCAGATCTCTTCAAACAAAGATCAAACCTGGATGACCTCTCACTGTCTATTCAGACATGTAATGGCAATACAGTGTGCACAGTTGTGAGTCAAGGTCAGACCATTTTAACTCGCCAGGCCAGGTTCACCGAGTCTGTAGTAGGAAACATTTACATGCGCTTTAATACCAACAACACCAACCCCAGGCTTCTTGCAGACCTCATTACAGTCGGCCAGGTGAATGCCACACAGCGAAACATCACAATCTTTGGATCTACAATGACTGCTGCTAGTTGTGAAGTTTTACTTGGAAGCTTAAATACTGCCCCCATGACAATGCTTGGTGTTGTAAATGTTGGAGTTCCTTTGCTTTTTCAGAAATCTCGACTGGACTTGACAAACTTTAACACCTCACACAATTTCCTTCTCTTAAACTTGGGGTCAACCACCAAGTGTGCTCAGATATATGATGTACCCAAAAAAGACGTGAGAGCTGTTATGAATATGAGAGGAATCAAAGGCTACTTCAGGTTTCAACAGGCTTCTCCGTTCGATCTGACACAGGTTGAAGTGAATCTGACCAACTTAACCAATGTCGGCCCTTACCATGTCCATCTGTTTCCTGTCTCTTCAGTCAGGTCAACCCCCTGCTCAAATGATAACGTGGGTGGTCACTGGAATCCATTCACGATCAACACATCTTCCCCAACATACCCTAGAGTGCCTGGGTCAACTCATGACTTGTATGAGGTGGGAGATCTCAGTGGCAAGTACGGGTCTCTAGCTGGAAGAAGTTTCCTTGATGCTACATTCACAGACTTCAACCTCCCTCTGTTTGGACGGAACAGCATTGTAGGTCGCTCAGTTGTAATTCACATGTCGGACAGTGCCAGTACCAGATTTGTTTGCACCAGTATAAGATATCCTGGTGAAGTGATGGTAGGCAGGGCCATATTTCAGGGTCCAGTCGTGGGCAACATCTGGTTTACCCAGCTGATGAAATATTCTCTGTCCGACGTTTCTATCTTCATGGATCTGTCATATGGCAATCCCACAATGGCACCAACCAAAAACCACAACTGGCATGTTCATGTTTATCCCATTAGCACCGAAAGAGATAATGATACAGCACGCTGCAACTCTACAGGAGGACATTGGAACCCATTTAACATCAACACAACTGACAGTAGCTATAAACTTCACTGCAGCTCATCTTGTCCCTTGTGCTGTGAGACTGGAGACCTCGCCAGCAAACACAGTCCTATTGATCTAGCTGTCAATGTAGGAGCGCTTAGCGCAAAGCACTTTTTCACTGATGTCACCGCCTGGTTAAGCGTGCCAGGCATTATTAATCGTTCCGTGGTCATCCATCAACCAGAAAGACAAGCGCCGCGGATTGCTTGTGCCAACGTTACAATGGTTCGTGTTCCAGCAGCTATGTTAAGTGAGTGGTTTGGTCCAGGATCATCAAGCGGTCAGGTGGTCTTCTCTGAAGCTGTTCCACTAGGCCCCACAACTATCAATGTGTCCTTAACAAGTCTGAGTTCCATATCTAGTGGCTACCATGTCCACATTCTGCCCCTTAGAGCTGGCAGTGCAGACCCCTGCTCAAATGCTAACATCCAGGGTCACTACAACCCATTATCCTGGAACACATCACTATCTCCTGCACCTGGAGTGGGCACTGTGGACCAGTATGAGATAGGAGACATCAGTGGAAAGTTTGGGACGCTTGCCAACCAAAATAATTTCAATGCTGTCAATGAAGACCCTAACATGCCACTCACTGGACCCTACAGCATCATAGGAAGATCTGTGGTTGTCCATCACACCAATGGGT